TCATCCCAGAGTTTTTTCAGACGACCAGGAGTCAGTGCCGCATAACCTTTTGACCAATAGGATTTCAGTACACAACACACTCCTGGATTGATATACACCATGCTGGTAGGTGGCCAGGGACTTTTTTTAATGCATGAGTGATTTCTTCCTCTGCCTGATGGGTAGAAGTGGGACGTGGCTGGAAGCTTTTCCAATTCTATCTAGAAGTAGGACAGAGAATCAAGGCTTTAAAAAAATCTGATCTATTTAGTTTTCATCCCAGAGTTTTTTCAGACGACCAGGAGTCAGTGCCGCATAACCTTTTGACCAATAGGATTTCAGTACACAACACACTCCTGGATTGATATAAACCCCTGGATTGGCTGAACTACTTCTGATGTCACAATTTTCCCATTAAGAAGTCATACTGCTTTTGAAATCACATTGCACTCATCACAACTCTTGTTATTTTGTTTCATGAGAAGAAAGATAAAACTACCCCAAAATAAAAACACTGGATGGAGCGAGCGATCTGTGGCCCACATAGAATTTTCCACTGGCGTGATTTCCTGACTGCCTGCCAAGAGTAGGAGCCAGCTTCTTTTCTTTCTTTTACAGTTGATGTTATTTTGCTTCTCAGACCCGTCAGTTCATAGGCTAATGGAGGAATGAGCCTCCCTGGACTTACCCCTTCTGCTCATAGTTGTGTTTCATCTCAACTTCTGAGGCTCAGCATCTATCTACTACTCAGCCTCCCTGACTCGAGAGGAAAAGCCATCTGGACCGCCCACCTGAATATAACCTTTCAGGTGGGCAATCGGATCATATCAGAATTAGGAGAGAGTGGAGTGTTCGGGAATCATTCACCTCTGGAAAGGGTGTCTGGTGCAGTGGCCCTTCCTGAAGGATGGAATCAGAACGCTTGTAATCCTATGACCAATTTCAGCAGGCCAGAACAGGCAGAGACCTGGCTGGCCCTCATTGAACGAGGAGGCTGTACGTTTACCCACAAAATCAACGTGGCAGCAGAGAAGGGAGCAAATGGGGTGATCATCTATAACTATCCAGGTACCGGCAACAAAGTGTTCCCCATGTCCCACCAGGGAACGGAAAACATAGTCGCAGTGATGATAGGCAACTTGAAAGGCATGGAGCTTTTGCATTTGATTCAGAAAGGTGTGTACGTGACCATCATAATTGAAGTGGGCAGAATGCACATGCCTTGGCTGAGCCACTATGTCCTGTCTCTGTTTACCTTCCTGGCGGCTTCCGTTGCTTACCTCTTCTTGTACTGCGCGTGGAGACCCAGAGTGCCCAACTCTGCCACCCGGCGGGGAAGACCGATCAAGGCCGACGTGAAGAGAGCCATTAGTCAGCTCCAAGTGCGAGTGCTCAAAGAAGGTGATAAGGAACTAGACCCAAATGAAGACAATTGTGTGGTTTGCTTTGACATCTACAAGCCCGAAGATGTAGTGTGTATTTTAAAATGCAAACATTTCTTCCACAAGGCATGCATTTACCCTTGGCTTCTAGTCCACAGGACATGCCCCATGTGCAAGTGTGACATATTGAAGACTTAAGACACCCGGAGAATCTTCTCAAGATGTTGCCGAGTTTTCCCCCAAATTGAAATTAGGTGAACTCTTTTCTAGTACTTTCCATAGAGAGAAAAGTCAACCTGATCGTCTCTACCCAAGTACTAAAGAGGGTGAAATTTGTCTTGTTTTTAAAAATAAAACTCCATATCATGTCCAAGCTTTTTGAGCTGGGTTTGTGAATTGCTTTTCATTGTTATGCCACTGTGACCTGAGAAAAGAGCATTTTTGTAGCAAAAAAAACCAAAAGCAATATTTGCTTCGATCTTCAAATTAGAATTGTTTATGATCCTGATGTCAACAGGAACTGGCCATAGTATTTCAAAGTTTCTTTTTTTAAAATACTAAGAGTTGTGGTCTCTTTCTATAATGTAAGTCTCGGTAATTAATCAGTTTTACTAATACCCAGAATTTTTCAAAACTACTGACCAGCTAGGTGTCAGTGTATTCTAAATAGTTACTTTGGATGGTTGTTGTTTGGGAGATTTGACTAAAAATATTTGAAAGTATTATGGCCTCATTTAGGGAAGGCATGTGTGTGCACACACACATACACACCTTTGTTTTCAAAAACCCTTTGAATCTTAGTTGAATCCATTCCGTTGGCTAGAAATGTCCCTAGTGAATGCTTATCTTTTCTTCTCAAAATGGTAGGGAGTGTTTCTCTATTGGAGGTATTTTGATAACCATGAAACAACAGAACTGAAATGTTGTTCAATTGCTCTTTCAAATCTTTTACCTCTTTGGGTCTTAATGAACGACTGAGCAAGTTAGATTTTTGTTTTGTTTTATTGATGTTCATGGGTGTGTTAAGCTATGCATTCCCAACACAGATAGTACTTCGTGGTTTATACACTTCTCTTATACAATTTTTTTAATGGGGTCTTTGTGGAAAAGAAGCAAATTAGTGAGGCGATGGGGGGAGGGGGCCCTTTTCCCTTCCCTCCCTTAAGCCTGCAGGCCTTAGCCCCAAAGTTGCAGAAGCTATACAGGTCCCTTCTTCCCCCCGAGACCCAGACAAAGGAACCTCCTCACAGCCCTTACCCATACAAGGCCAGCGACATTTATGTTCAAGGCCAAAATACTTGGCTCTGGTTTCCCAGCTGCTGAAAAAGAAGCGTTGAAATAGATCCTCAGCAAGGTGTTTGGCAGGGGAGTGGCTGACCGTGCTGGGTAGCAAAGCTTTGTTTGGCTCTGAAGCGATGCTGTGCCGTTGTCACCAGTGTAATGAAAACAGAGTCAGGGCTGACATGTCTGAGGGGTCTTCCATTAGGGGTGTGCCAGGCGCTTGGCAAAGACTTTGTTGAGAAAATCATGAGTTATGAACCACAATTAGCACTGCTGACAATGGCTAACGTTAAGTGACAACCTTGAAGTTGTATGTTTGGAATGAACAGTTGCGTTTTTGTTGAGAATAAATTTTGTTAAATAAAAAATGCTATTAAGAAGAAAGGCCTGGAAATCTACGGCTGAATATCAACCAGTGAGAACCCTCTGGATCCCACAGCCCCTGATGGATGTGGGACCAGGGGGAGTTGTTCCTGGTAGCCATGAGTTGGGTCTGACTTTTGGGTAGCTAATAGGAATGTTGCTTTTCTGAGTCATTGACCAATTTCCTCCTCCTCCTCCCTCAAAATCACGTTAGATTAGGGACAGATGTCGGGGTCTGCAACAGAATGGGCTTCTCCGGACCTTTGTCTTCCCTGTCTTTAGTCTTTGACCCAGTTGGATCCTCAGTGTGCAAAGGAGAAAGTGGACTGCAAATATAGTGAGTGGGATACTAAAAAAAAAAGTACTGTTAATAAGTTTGTATTAAATAAATGCAGTATGATGATTTATATGAGGGGGTTCAAAAGTTCGTTGAAAATGGAATTAAAAGATAATGGAAACTGGAACTTCTTGAAGCTCCTCTCTCTCTCTCTCTCTACACACACACACACACACACACACACACACACACACACACACTGGTGCTTCAATATGTTATAAATCATTAGCTCTTAAGTACATTTCTTTTACCTCCCATCGCTCAGAGTGCTAATTTTTAAATGATCACTTGTTTTTCAAAAGCTTTCCACTCTGTTGCAAATATATGCTTCACTCATAGTGAAGAAAAATAATCACATGGCTCTCTTAACTTGTGATTCCTGGCTTTGACGGGCATACAGTTCAAGAATTTTATATTAAAGAAAGTCACATTTAATTTTTAACTTAAATGCTAACTGCTGACATTATATGTAGCGTAGTCAATGAATTCTTCAATCACATCACCCATAACACCATTTGAAACAGGCAAGGCACTACATTTTCAGCAGACTCTAAGCTCATATCCAATTGGCTGTGTTTTCTTTTATGTCATAATCACATGACCCAAGAGTAAGCAGTAGCTCCACATTCAGTAGGGAGACTGGGGCTGTCTTTTAATCTCTTTCCTCTCTCTAATGAAACATCTGAAACACATAAGACATCTTGAAGAACTCATGAAAACATGTTGGAAGACATTGGAACTGATTTTCACCCCGAAGAATTTTTTCGTTTGCAACTGAGTGCCTGCCAATAGATGTGGAAGTCACCCTCTGACGTTGGCTTGGCTCTGCAATTGCTGGGCAGAGAGAGAAATGAGGGCACTCAAGCTTGGCATTGGAAGAAAGAACGCCATATCCTGGCTGGTGAAATTCAGTTTTCTTTGGCTTCTTAGTCCAAACTATTGCATGGCCGATGCTATTTGGACTGCTTACATGAACATATCCTTCCATGTTGGAAATCACATGCTGTCCGAGTTGGGAGAGACGGGTGTATTTGGAAGAAGCTCCACTCTGAAGAGAGTGTCCGGCATTATTGTGCCACCAGATGGAAAGTCCCAAAGTGCATGTCATCCCAATACCAGTTACAGCCAGGCAAAGGGCCTTCAGACTTGGCTTGCACTTATAGAACGAGGAGGCTGTACGTTCACACAGAAGATCAAGGTGGCCGTCGAGAAAGGAGCCAGCGGGGTAATCATCTATAACTTTGCCGGAACTGGCAATCAGATGTTTCCCATGTCTCACCAGGCGTTTGAAGACTTTGTAGTGGTGATGATTGGTAACCTGAAAGGCTCCGAAATCTTCCATTTGATTCAGAAGGGGGTTCACGTTACAGCCATGATTGAGGTGGGGAGGAAACACGTCATCTGGATGAATCACTACTTTGTGACTTTTGTGATCGCCACAACGGCCATCTTCGCCTACTTCATCTTTTATCAGATTCACAGAGTTTGGGTAGAAAGAGTTCAGAACAGGAGATGGCAGCAATTCGCAACAGATCTCAGGAAAGCTTTTGCCCAGCTCCAGCTCAAGGTGTTGAAAGAAGGGGACAAGGAAATCACTCCAAATGGAGAGATTTGTGTCATTTGCTTTGAAGGCTACAAGCATAACGATACAATTCGTGTTCTCACTTGTAAACATTTTTTTCATAAGAATTGCATTGACCCTTGGATTCTAGACCACGGGACGTGTCCCATTTGCAAATGTGACATTCTTAAAGCTCTGGGAATTCAAGTAGATGTTGAAGATGGGGCAGAATCCTTGCACGTTCTAATGTCGACTGAACTGCGTGGGTCCCTATTGCCTAATGACCTGGGGACAGATAATGAACTTCCTCCTGCAAGAAGATTAAATAAAGTGACCCACGTGAATGAGCAACCGAGGACTTGGAATGACAGCCAGCTTAATTCAGAAGTAGAAGAGGTTCATCCTTCCCCTTGACAAGAGGACCTTTGAGGAAGTAGATTAAACCAGTTTGCCAAATCTGACAAACCATTTGGCCTGTCCAAAGTATGGCTTTTGTGTCAGTTTTGTTGTTGTTCTGTTCATTTTGATAGATTGCTTATCAAGCCTCAAAGACAGAAAAGGGTGGGGGGGTGGGGGGAAAGCCTAGCAGGACTTTTAAAACTTTAGACTTTTGCTAATTTATTTTTTTGTGTGTCCAGTTCTGTTACACCTCTGAGCATAGATGTTTATTTCTATGTGCACAGGCATTTAAAAAACAAAGCACAAAGTTTTTGGGGTTTCTTCCTAAATGTTTTTGTACATGTTTTAGACTTTGAAGGAGAAAATTGTCAGTAAGTTGCATGTTACTTATAATGTAGAAACCATTATGCTTAAAAACATTTTATACTTTATGTATGTGCTACAAAGAGTGAACTTTATCTTTCATAGTATACTTACAATATTGTTGTAATTACTATACTGAAATTGTTTGAAAATGTTTGCATTGTGTGTGTGTGTGTGTGTGTGTGTGTGGTTTTATTCTTGAGACAGTTCAAGCAATGAGTATAGTATGCTTTGGGAGCGAATATGGCTTTGCTGATCAGTAGTGTTTACCATAATTGTGAACTGTTCCATATACATATGCAATGGAAAGAATCCCTGGACTGTTTATTTCACCTGTCCTCACTACTTATGTATTTTATTATACCATTACATTTAAAAGATCAAAATATTCCAGGGTGTTTGAGATACCCAAAGCCCACTGCAAGCTAGTCAACTCATAGTGACTCAGAGCAGAATTGTCCCACACGTCCCCAAGTCTATACCTCTCTCCTGAAGGAGACAGTCTCATGAAGTGGGGCTTGAAACACCAGGCATTAGCTACCCAGCACTTCACCTGCAGCACCCCCAAGAGCCCATGGCCATCAACTCCATTCTGATTCACAAGGAAGCCCTAGTCAAACTACGCTGTACAGAGTTTCCGAGACTGGAAGCCTTTGGGGTAACAGATAGCCTCATCTTTCTCCCAAGGAATGGCTGGTGGATTCGAACCTTGTGGCCCAATGCATAATCCCTTGTACCACCAGGGTTCCTTCACAGTCCCGTAAGGGCTGCTTCATTTGAGATAAAAACTAACAGTATTAGAAAGTATTAAGACAGTTTGACATGATGTTTCATTCACTGAAAGCCCGGGCCTATCACTGTCCCAGGCATTCGAATGTTTGTTGAATGAATGGATGGGCACTGGTAAATGCTTTCTTCTTAATGCAACTGTGACGTGCTAAGAAAAACTGGGCTGTTTTCCTAGGTCGTTCAAAATGAGAAATAAATGTTGGAAATGTTCATCCTAAACTACTGTAACAAAAGATTAAGTTCTGATTGCAACCCAAGGTCATTCAGGATTTCAATGTGGCATGCATTCTTTTCTCGAGGAGTGTGAAACTTTCCCGCTCCAGCGGGGCGTTGGATTGTTGGGTTCCTCTGGGGAGAGGGCCGCTGATGAGGAATTTTGTGAGTGTCTCTGTGCGAGGAGCCCTGGATTTCAGGGAGACGTAAAGCCATTCCCTGAGGGAGGGATCACCCGGAGAGGCAGAACCAAGGACTCTGTGAGCAGCGCTGCAGGAGAACCACTTGCTAAGCCAGGATAGCTGCCTGTGTCAGACCAGCCTCGCTTGGCCTCTCTGCCACTAGGAGCTCATGGAGGCGGCGGCTGGATTCATTTCTGCCGGTTGCCCAAGGGAGACCTTGGAACCATGGAAAGGAATGTCTTTGGCAGCCTTGAGAATTCCTGAACCCAGAGATCTAGGCTGATTACAGCTGTGTGCACTGTTAGAAAATCCAGGGCAGTCACTGGCTGGTCCCTAATGGACATGGCATTGGAGGCTTTTCTTGGCTGCCTTGTCCATTAAAAATGTTTCTGCCTTCTCTTTCCTTTCTTCCTTGCCTCCTGATGGGATGGTTTCTCCTTTTCTTCTGAGTATCAACCGTAGGCCTGACTCACTTCTCCTGTGTAAGAAACTAGCATGGCCACACTTTCATAACAGCATGTCTCAATAAGTAGGGCTTTTCATATTGAACCGTGTGCTTGTTGTCTTTATTTGAGACATACATGTTCCATGGGTGTTCATTGAGGGGTGGTTAGCATAGCTAAGCAGTGGTAGGCTGCAAAAAAGTTCATGAAAAATGGAACGAAAAGATAATGGAGTTTTCCTAAGAACTTTTTGAAGTGTGCCTGCGTGCAT